GTGTGTGTGTGTGTGTGTGTGTTGTGTGTGTGTGTGTGTGTGTTTGTGTGTGTGTGTGTGTGTGTGTGTGTGTGTGTTTACATCTGGGATAAAATTTGCTTCAGTGAAAAACCCTGTTGTGAAAAATTTCTTGCTGCAAACATGATTTCGTTGTTGAGGAGTTTCACTGTATTGAAAAATATAGTAATGCACTTGAAGATTGAAGGAGATTTAGATAGAAAGGAATTTTTAACCATTTACACACGTGCATATAAAATCTAAATTTAATCCCTGCCTCCACCTTACAAACTAATGAGAGTGCTATTAAATGTGTAAAGAATAAAGTATTCACATGTCCTTGATAACGTCTGCTGTGTTTGGTCTGTCTCAGTGAGAGATGAAGTGGCTGATCAAAACAGTGTCTCCCCTAGCGGATACTCCATGAATTGCACCTTAATAAAAATATTAATTCCGTGTCTTTTTTTTTTCACTTTTAAATTATCCCACGGGCCTGCTGGAACCTCCTTGGGGGCTGGTTCTGCCCGCGGGCCGTATGTTTGACATCCTTGCCTTAAACGAATCAGTCCTTAACGCCTCCCCAACAACAGTTGAAAATCTCGTGCTTTTGAAACAAGATAGAATACAATGCATCGTTATTTATACAGAGCTTTCACAACAGCTGCAGCTGTAACAAAGCGCTTTACATTACAGTTAACATAAAAGAACAAAATAATTTAACACAACACATATCATACGACAGTCATTCAATTGTAACTATTCCTGCACACGCTTCGTTGTTTGAAGATGTTCTAGATCAGGGGTGCCCAAACTTTTTGGACCAAAGATCTACTTTTCGTTCAACCAACCTCCCCGGATCGCCCCTTACCGCGCATGCCACTCACGCGCGCACAACCACACGCACACACACACACACACACACACACGCACACACACACACACACGCACACACACACGAATAATGACGATCAAAGATATAGCGCAACAGCTCTGATCACAAGCTGCAATTGCAGACTGCTGAGCGCTAACAACTTCCGCTGACGTAGTCACGCGCCAACGTAGGTTAAAGATTTACCTGCTTTATTTTATTTTATTTTTTAAATCTTTCTTTGGGAAAATGAGACTGATAGGATGATTAGGGTGCAGTGTGCATTAACACAAAAATATATTACTAACATGTACAAAGACACACAATTTTTTTATTTTTTTTTTCCTCCTCTACACCTTTCGGATCTAATTGGGACGAGTCCTAGATCGACCGGTAGATCAGGATCGACGTAATGGGCAGCCCTGTTCTAGATGAAGGAGGAGAGAATGAAAGTGTCCTTTCACCCGTGGATCAGATACGTCATGCTCAAAATGTGCACACATCTACTACAAGCTAAGTTTAAAAAGTAAACAGAAAGCTGAAGCGTCCATGAACGAAAAAAAAGAGATTACCGTATTTTTCGGATTATACATCGCTCCGTATTATAAGTCGCACCAGCCAAAAATGCATGATTAAGAAGGAAAAAACATATGTCGCACTGGAGTATAAGTCGCATTTTTGGGGGAAATGTATTTGATAAAATCCAATACCAAAAACATACATGTCATCTTGAAAGGCAATTTAAAATAAAAATAAAA